TACTTCGCATGCCGAGCCCTGCTTGTTTACGAAAGCAGGGGAAGGAAACTGTGGCACCCAAAACCAGCCCCAGCCCCCCCCAACAGCCCAGCTGCACCCTCCCGATGGGCTTATTGCTTCCACGGCTTTTTGCTAGCAGGGCAGGGGATTTGGGTGTCTGCTCTCGCCCAGCGGCGAGGGGCGCGCTGGAGCAGGCATTCAGTTCAAACTTCTCGCCTGGCTGTGTATCTGCTTCCGAGCGCAGGATGGGGAGTCACCAGTCTGGGTTACAGTCTGAATTATTCCAAAGCTTCCTTTCCGTTCCTGCCAGCAGCCCGTGCAGAAGGTGCAAACCCTGCCCTGGCCTTGCCACCACTGGGTGTATGCGAGAGCAGTGACGTGTGACTGAATCGGCAAGGAATTCTGTTAAAGCAACCAATTTATCTTTTGCTCACCACATCATTGCGGATGCCGTGCGAGGGCAGGATCACTGGGGACACTGAAAACCAAGAGGGTTGATGGGCAGCGCTAGACTGAGCTTTGCCTCCAGTTTAGGTTTGGATCTGAGATTCCTGAACTTGTCTGTGCTGAGCAATGCCCTCGCTGAGAGGTGCTGTCACGTGGAGAGAGCCGCCAAGCACAAGCACTTGAATGCGGGGTTTGTGTCGTGACGGTCCTGTAGCTGTCTTTTGCCAAAAATGGATTCAAAAGGTGGGCTTGAGCCCCTAAGAACAAAGACTGGCTTCGAGGTGAGTTTTCTGAGAACATATTTGTGTTGGATTCTTTTGGGTTTTTTTGCAAAAGGCTGATGTCAATACAAACAGCACAAATTCCGGCTGAAAATGAAGGAACGGTCTCTCTCCAACTTGAGAAAGGGGGGAGATGAGCTTCTCCCTTGATTTTTCTTCCCCTTGTTTCTCTTGCAGAAGACCAGGTGGCAGAGGAGACGGAGGAGGTGTTTCGGAGCTATGCCTTCTACCGCCACCAACAGGAGAGAGAGGAGAGGGGGGAGGAGGTGCCCATGGACCCAGAGATCATGGAGGTCGAGCAGGAGCTGGGCAGGTAAAACTCTGATGCCAACTGTATGCACATCCCTCAACCCCATCCTGAGCCAGGCTCCTTTACGGACCCACCCCTTGGTCCTGCTTACCAGTCTTGCTGGGAAGGCAGACCCATCCATGATGCCATCTTCCCTCTGGGCAGCACCGGGAGCCAGGTGGGAAGGCGCCTGGCCATCATCGGTGATGACATTAACGAGCGGTACGACGCGGAGTTTCGCTACATGCTGAAATCCTTGCAGCCCACCAAGGAGAACGCCTATGAGTACTTCACCAGAATAGCCTCCAGGTAAGGCCACCGGCTCCCTCGGCGTGGGCTGGACACCTTCTCCTGGAGGAGATCAGGGAAGGAAAGGTCAGATGGAGTGCAAAGCAATCAGTTAAAGCCTTGCCCATGCCCTGGAGCAGCTGCCCCCCAGCTCGGCCCCAGCGCACCCACTCCGTCAGTTCAAGCGTCACCCACTGTTCCTGGGTTGAGCTCCCAGCAAGCTCACCGTGACGGTTCCTGTGTTTTCTGCCTGTCTGCTCTTGCTCCTGCGCACTGTTTGGACAGTCTTCACCTGACAAGCATCTCACAGTCCTTGCACAAGCTGAGCGGGGTCAGAAAGTTTGGGGGACATGCGTGGGAAGTGTGGCCCATGCATCAGGAGCCAAGCCAATGTCCCAGCTCCCATTCAGGGGTGGAAACAGCCCGGGACCAAGGCAGACCCGCTGCTGGTCCCACCACCACGAGCTTGGTAGCTGGGAAGTCCCGCTGGGTCAGACTTTCCAGAGGCACAAAGCAAACGCAGCTGCAGGTTGTGGGGATGGGCAGGTACCCACTGCCCTTGGCATGGTCCACATGGAACAGGATCGGACTAACTCAGGATGGGGGATGCTCCGCAGGCTTGCAGAGCCTGCAGCCATCTGGTGCAGGCGATGCGTGCCCAGCTCTCCCACTCGGAGCACAGTGATGGGGTGAAGAGCAAAGACAGACACTGGAACAACCTTTTGCCCTGCTTGCATGAGGTACAGCCTTGGACTGAGGTGGCCAGCAAGGGGTTCAGTCCTCACCCCTCTCTGTCTATAGGGAAACCAAGACACTGTGTACATTAAACGGTTTGCCCAGGGTCATGCAGAAGACCTCTGGCAGAGCCAGGAGAGAAGCCAGGGGTCTCTGGGTTCCCAGGTCCCAGGCACCAGCGCAGCCCCGTCCCCGTGCACCCTCCGCTCGGTGTTTGTTGTCTAACTGCCTCTCTTCTGTCCTCTTCCTGCTCCCCTCTCCTTGGGAAGCCACGCTGCGCTGTTTTCACCGCTTTGCCAGCCTGAGGCGGTTAACGCGCCGCAAACAGGTAAATTAACCTCTGTCCCTCTCCTTGGGCTACCTGCTCCTCTGTTGGTCCTTCCTGGGCTCTAACTTCCCTCTCCCTCTGCAACCTGCACGTGGCGGCTCCACGCCAAGGCTCTGCAGAGAAGCCAGTTCCCTCCTGCCGGCAGGGACCACCAGGAACAGAGCACAAGATTAAGACGCAGGGTCTGAGTCTACTCTTTTTGGTTTTTTATTTTTTTCCTTTTTTTCCTTCTTGCTTGCCTTGCTGGAAACCAGGAAAAAATGCCTTCAAAAACTGGTCTAGCTAAATCAGTGCCAAACCTGCAGACAGCAATGCAGTTTGTGCCCACAGCAACCAAAACCTGGATCAAGTAGGCATTGACCTGGCACATTCCAGAGTTCCCCCAGCCCTTGGGAGTGTCAGTCTAAGGCAAGATCAGATCAGGTTTTGGTCTTGGAGGGGTTTGTCTATGCAGGAAAAGGGAAAATCCTGTTCCAACATGCTTTGTCCTGAGTTATATTTGGACTTCCTTACCTCCAGGCACAAGCAAGGGAAGCTTTGGGACAGGCGAGTGGTAGCTCCTGCTCCCGGCTGTACACGTAGGAGCTGCTGAGCTTGCTGTAGCCTACGGCCCGACGGCTTAAACCAGCACCAGTCCCAGCTTACCTTGTTTAAGAACCTTGCCCCTGAAAGCACAGGACCTACAGGCAGCTGATGTGCCCCGCATTTGGGTGGAGACCTGAGGGAAAGGCAGGATGGGCAGGAAGGTCAAAAACCACCGTCCCAAAGCTTCCACCCTAGCAATTCAGAGCCTGTAGACAGGATTTGGAAATTTCCTTTTCCCTAGGACATCCCTAACCCACCTGGCTGAGGCAAACAGTGGTTGCGACAGAGACCGTGTTTGTTCTGCTCTGAATGCACATCCTGGGTGTCGGAGGCCACGTGTCACCTAAGTCACCAAACAACCTCGTTGTCTGTGCGGCTGGGATGCTCCTCAAGGACGAGCACAGCATCCCCAGCCCCACTCTGCAATCGGCGCTGCTCAAGAGCCCCTGGCCTGGGATGCAGAGATGAGGGAGGTCCAAGCCAGCTGAGGCAGAGATTTAGAATCATAGAATTGTCTAGGTTGGAAAAGACCTTTAAGATCATCAAGTCCAACCGTTCCCCTAACCCTGCCATCCCACCACTAAACCCTGGCCCTAAGCACCTCATCTCTCCTTTTAGATACCCCCAGGGATGGGGACTCGACCCTTTCCCTGGGCAGCCCATTCCAGTGCCTGACAGCCCTTTCAATGAAGAAATTTTTCCTAATGTCCAACCTAAACCTGCCCTGGC